TTTTATTAGGCACTTAACTTTTTAACAGATATAGAAATCCTAAACATGTAACAGTGTATTAGGAAAGTTAAATTGTAAACTATATATAAATTAGGTCTGGCTTTCTTCACTAATTTCATCAGCTACTGAAAAAAATCTAAGTCACTTATCTACCAATAATATGCTTTTTTCCCCTCTTTCTTTCCTTATTTTTTTTCTTTTAGGACCCCAAACGTCATTTGGAGGAACATGTGGATGTACTTATGACTTCAAATATTGTCCAGTGTTTAGCAGCTATGTTGGATACTGTCGTATTTAAATAAAGCAACGCAAAAAGCTATTAATGATACTTTTAGTGTATATTCCTCTGTTGTTCCTAATGCTCAAAATCAAGGGACCTCTGACGGTGTATTTGGTTAAATGTAAGACATCTGGCATCATTTGCAGCACTGTAACACCTTCAGTCTCAGTTGTGCAATTACTTCTGTTTCTTTAGTCAGGGTCTTTGCAGATTCCAAAGTTATACAAGAATACATCAAAATGAACAAATTTTGTTAATATCCCATTTAATATTTGAAAAAAATCAGTAGCACAAATATATTTTGATTGTTGCTTATAAAATAAAATACATTTACAATCTATGTCTCCTGAGGTCTTTTTGCCACTGGGTCGAATTGAGAAAATAACATTTGACAGTGCTCTAGAAATCTCACACAAAGATATGTTTCCCTTTGCATTTTAAGATTTTATGACACATAGAACATCAGTGTGGTAACAAAATGTACAAAGATTGCCATTAATGAGTGGCTACTTCAGCAGTGAATAACCCAGAAAAAATGGTGACATATTTTATTAAAAGCATTTGTCACGAGTTAATATTGTATACTCAGCTTCTTGTTAATATATTATACTTTCAGGATTTCAGGGGAGAACATTAAGAAAAAGGGGGCAGTTTTAATTTAGACTTTATCATGTTTTAAAAGAGTACATTCTACCAACAGTTTTGAAACCTTTTGGGAGTTGGCTACTATAGACTCCACTGGACTTTTCATCTGAGATAGCCATAGAAGGTATATAATTATAGTCTTCAAAGCAAGATGAGAAATGTAGCTATAATGTGAGCTTAATATCATAAGCTCATTGTTATTGCTTGCTCTCGTCTTTCCTAAATTAGCTTAGAAGTACCCAGTTTTCTGATAGAGAGAAAAAAAAATTGCCTAACGGTAGTTTTTATCAATGACTTCGTCCCTCAACCTACTTTTAACCTGATGTTCAGAATTAACTGCCCATGTCATCACTCATGGTACAGCACCATACTGGCTATACCAAGGAGTATGGCAAAGGTTATGGAGACAGACAAAGATTCAATTCTAGACTATTTCCTTCCTTGTGAAAATATGGTGAGAATATTACTAAGGTTTCATTAAAGGAAGGTTTTACATGGGGACTTAGAATTTAGATTTAACCTGCAAGAAGTGTTATGAATGCTGTGGTAGACCAAATTACTGTCCTGTTTGAACATCTCTAGGCTCTTATTGGTTGCCTAATGAGGTTACCAGAAACTGAAAGTAGAAATGACTTAAATTCCCAGTAAATTTCACAGTGTCTTTTTTGGTGGAATAAGAGGTATCCTGAGGACTTCTTACTTGTCCTGTGGTTTCTTCTTTTAGGTATAGTGATAGTATATATTATGTAGGACATGTAATATGTATTAATGTAAGTTGTTGGGATTACATCTAACCATTTAGAATTAAATATAAGTGGAAGTCAGTGAAAGTTTTCCTTTAGCCTAATTCAAAATTGCGTGAAGGCTATTTGGATATGGTTTTTCTCTTTATAAGTAAGGTCTATACCTTATTTTACAGATATGAACTAGTAAAGATTTTTTTCGGTACTGTATGCCCTTAGAAGAAGGTCTTAATCTTTCAAGGCCCAGTCTCAATATTCAGAATGAAAGGTTTGAGGTGTTTCCCCCACCACTTTGTCCTCTGAAAATGCTGTGAGTGAGCCCCCTGACAGAGAAGGCATACACAGTGCCTGTCTTTTGCCCTTATTTGACACCTCATCTTCCTGGACTCTCCATAGCCACATAGCAGCACTTCCTCCCATTTGGTTCATGTGGGAGACATTCCCAATTTCAGAACCTTGTCAAAATCTTTCCTAGCAAAATTGTGTCTTTGTTGTGGACTTGGAGTCGATCAAGATCAAGAATGCTCTAAGGTTCAGTGAACACCTTTGTCTTGGAATGTACCGCTCTTTTAGTAGCAGCCTGATGCCCCAGGCACAGTTAGTCATTGAAAAGATGTGTTTAATCACAAACTCGGTGAGCTGTTTAAGACTGTGTGTATGCACATGCACACGCTCACGGCTCACGGGCACACCTAAGTGAGCATCTTTACCATCCACCTTGCAGAGTTAAACAGCTCCGGAAACTGCTTGCCTCCTGTGCAGAAAATGCCCCTGCTTTTCCCCTCAGACTAGGATGGGGGCACTGAAAGCTCTAGCCTCACTATTCAAAGTGTGATCTGCCTGGACCAATAGCATCTGGGTCTTACGGAAGCTCCTTGTATACAAGAATCCAAGCCCCACCCCAGACCTAATGAATCCCAGTCAAGAGTCCTGATGTGGTTCTTTAAGATGTGAAAAGTTCTTGTCTTTGAGGAGTATGGTTCGCAGGCAGGAGGAGTGACCCCGAAGAAAGCCTTCATGAGGAATCACTGAATTTAGTACTCATAATCCAAAGTGGGTCAGAGTGCACATTAATCTAATTCAATTCTTTAAAAATGCTGAGAAAGGTGCACTCTAATCATCTTCTATCCTTTCACACCTTAACATTTCATTTTGGCATTCATTTTCTAAGAAGCCAGTTCAGGGTGTCGGTTATGGCAAAGCATCAAAAAGCCCAGGTGAAGTCTAACCTCGCTACACACTTAAGCTCTGTCCCTCGGAGGATGAAGGAAACTACCGTCGCAAGCAGCGGAGGGAAAGACACTCGGGGACAGAGAAGTTCATGATGGAAGAAAGGAGAAAGCAAAAGTAGCCAAAGTAGGGCAAAAGCCTCTCATGAGGACAAATGGCGGCCGAAGGTAAAGGGCAGAGAGTGTCAAGCGGTGTCAGCTACTCTCCCCTCCCCGCTCTCCAACGCCTCAACAGCTAAGACCCTGCTGGTTGATAAAGCTTCTTCTGGAGCTGAGGTTTGCATTCGAGAGGAAAAAATGGGTTTGGCTTTATTTTTCTCCCACAAAATTGTCTCGGCTTGAGTCTGGGACATCTGGTTATCAACCCGCCCTGCCCAGGCCGCCCGCGCCGGCCTCGCTCGCGGCGCCCTGCTGGACGATGCAGCTGGTGCCCTCTGCAGCCAAGGCGCCCAGCCCGCCTCGGGGGGCGCAGTGTGGGCTCCGCGTCGGCCGCTCGGTCCACCGAGGCGCCGATCGGAAAATGCACCGCAGGGGCGAAGCTGCGAGCCTGGTTAACCCCCTCTCCGCCCATGCCCGGGACCCCACCCCGGAGCGGCACCGGCCCAGGAAGGGCACACGCGCTCGCTCGAAGGCAGAGGCTCTCCGCCCGGCCGGGGTGCGCGGGCCGCGGCGCCCCTGGCACGGGAGAGTGTGTGCCCCGGGGGTCTCCGCCATCCGCGGCTCACCCCCGCGCTCCCTCGGTCTCCCGGGCGGAGTCCGCCCGCTGGTCCAGTCGGCCGGCTCGCGGGGCAGAGCTGAGCCCCGGCGCGGCGCTCTTGCCCCTCCTTCCCGCGCGGTTCGGCGTCCGGGAGGAAAGCCGCGGGAGGGCAGGTTGCCGGGCGCGGGCCGAGGGAGGCGGCTCTAGGCGGATAAAGCCTCTGGCACCCTTGACCCTCTGGTTGGGGCCGAGGCCGGGCCGCTCTGCGGAGCCGAAACTGGGAGATCGCCCTACGCCTCGGGGTCGCTTTGGGCCTCGTGCTATTTATTAATTTGTGCCAATATCCTTTCACGTTGGTTCTTTTCTCTATGCCTCCTTGGATTCTTTTTCCTTTTAAAATTACTGGCGTGGGTTCTTTTTCTCCCCTCTAGATTATATAAACATTAAACACACACACACACACACACACACACACACACACACACACAGGAGTCTTCAGTAGCGATTACTGTGTTGACACCACTTCCACTCTGTCTCTCCAGATCAGCGCTGCTGGCGAACCCATTTGCACGGGGACTCGGCCCTCTCTTCCTGGCGAGGCTTTTGAACCTGTCGCCAAGCCAGTACCTCAGAGAGAAGGAAGTGCAAGGGGACCCGGAGCATGCATGGCGCCTGCCCCCAGTTAGATGCTCTTCAGATAATCCGCCACCAAGTTCGCTGATAAAATATTTAGCAAAGACCCGGTAAACATCACTGCAAATACATTAAGGCACTTCAGCCCGACAGCTTATGATTATTTCAAAACTTAAAAAGGGGATCATAGATTGTCACTGTTTCTGTGCTCAACCGCGAAACCGAACCTTCGCGAGGTGGGTGGGTTGGTGGGTGAGTTGCTGCTTTTCGCCCCCTCTCCTCCCCCCTCCTGCTTATCGCTGTGGCTCTCGACAGCAGTGATTTATTTATTTATGTGCGTAGTTTAAGAGGTGGGGGTGGGGGCCGCCGAGGACGCGGAGGACAGGCTCACGACGCACCGGCTCAGGTGTTGTGAGCTTCTGTATTAACTGGAAAAGACAGACTCTGGAACTTTTACAGGGCTAGAAGAGGCCACCGGCTCGCGCTTTGTATACTTTGCACTTGAAATCGTTACATTCAACTGAATATTTGGCTCATTCAGATCCGAAAAGTCTCCTAGCGTCGTCGAATTCCCTCCTCCGCCCCTCCGCTCTAAAGGGGGGAAGGGGGGGAAGGTAGGCAATGTTTAGTACATTGCACATCTCTGGATCCTCCTAAAGCAGTGGTCACAATGCTTAAAGGTGACACAACAGTGCTCACGTAAACCAACACACATTCCCCACCCCCCAAGCCAACAATAAAATCATCCCCTTCAATTTGCCATGATCGTCGCGACCAGGAGCCAGGTGATTATCCTAATTAATGTCTATCTAATTAAATTACTGTCAGCAGCTAACCAATGGCAGGAGCCGTTTCATCGGCTGCACAAGCAGCAAGATCAAAAGTGAGCCTTTTCTGATTGCTGCATAGTGTCAATTGGCCAATCTCTTCTCCCAGGGAAAAAAAAAAAGTAAATCAAACCTTTGAGAAGCATTTGCTGGTTGAAGTGCTTTCTGTCTAGTGAGGGGGTCTGTGAATTTCTAGTTTATGATAAATAGGACTTTAAAAACCAGGGACGGGAGGGCGAGCGTGCAGGTTCTAGAGCGATGCAGCTGGAGCACTGCCTTTCTCCTTCGATCATGCTCTCCAAGAAATTTCTCAATGTGAGCAGCAGCTACCCACATTCAGGCGGATCCGAGCTTGTCTTGCACGATCATCCCATTATCTCGACCACTGACAACCTGGAGAGAAGTTCACCTTTGAAAAAAATTACCAGGGGGATGACGAATCAGTCAGATACAGACAATTTTCCTGACTCCAAGGACTCACCAGGGGACGTCCAGAGAAGTAAACTCTCTCCTGTCTTGGACGGGGTCTCTGAGCTTCGTCACAGTTTCGATGGCTCTGCTGCAGATCGCTACCTCCTCTCTCAGTCCAGCCAGCCACAGTCTGCGGCCACTGCTCCCAGTGCCATGTTCCCGTACCCCGGCCAGCACGGACCGGCGCACCCCGCCTTCTCCATCGGCAGCCCCAGCCGCTACATGGCCCACCATCCGGTCATCACCAACGGAGCCTACAACAGCCTCCTGTCCAACTCCTCACCGCAGGGCTACCCCACGGCCGGCTACCCCTACCCCCAGCAGTACGGCCACTCCTACCAAGGAGCCCCGTTCTACCAGTTCTCCTCTACCCAGCCGGGGCTGGTGCCCGGCAAGGCGCAGGTGTACCTGTGCAACAGGCCCCTCTGGCTGAAATTTCACCGGCACCAAACGGAGATGATCATCACCAAACAGGGAAGGTAATGCTACGTGCTTGGCTGCCGCCGCTCCGGGCGCGGCCGGGG